GTAGGACATCAACATTTCGAAATATTTCCAACCGTGGGATCGCAGCCCTGTCGACGGCCACATCCTGTCGAACGTTGTCGCTCGTCGTAGAAAACTCCACGTTGAGTTTTCTCAACAACACAGGTGGGACCAGACCCCTGGGGCCCAGTGTTACCTTATAGTACAAAGTTTAACGATAATCTCCCCCCCCTCCCCACAAAAAAAATAAAATAAAAAAAATCTGCATTTTGAAAAAAAAACTAGGAAGGTTTCAACACAAACAAAAAGATTGTCGACCCTTGACTAGCTTTGAATTAGCTTTTTAACTTTCCAGAAAGAAACACCGTAGACCTCGGGCTACACGAGAAAAAAGAACACGTAAACAATTCGAGACTCCCAGAACCGAATTAATCTGAACCATGGCCATGTCTTCTTCTGCCTTTGCTGAGTTTCCTCCCTTTTCTAAATGCTACGGTAGGACATAAACACAAACGACGTCCTGCAAAAATAAAAAATTAACACACAAACTTCTCTCTCTCTCTCTCTCTCTCTCTCTCTCTCTCTCTCTCTCTCTCTCTCTCTCATGTCTAGTTTTCCTCCCTCTTCTAATTTCGGCAGTGAAAACAGAAAGCACTACTTCCTGCAGAAAGGAAAAGCAACTCTCTCTCTCTCTCTCTCTCTCTCTCTCTCTCTCTCTCTCTCTCTCTCTCTCTCTCTTTCTTTTGCGTGTCTGCGAGTGAGTGCATATATGCAGCCTGGCGTGCGCTGATCTACGGTTTCCTAGCGATGAAAAAGCGACGAGGCGGTGGGCGCAATCTTCGTGCTTCTGCGTACTAGGTTGTTACATACTATGTGCCGTGTGTACTATGTGCGTGCTCTGTGCATAAGTACACTCTTGGTTCATACATTCTCTGTCTGTCCGACCATCGTCCCTTGGCCATCTGATCATTCAAACAGACAACTTCTGTGCTACGTTCATCCATTCTATGTGCATCCCATGTGCATACTTTGTTGCGTACTATGTGCTTTACTATGTCCGTACTATGCTTTACTATGTCCGTACTGTGTGCATACTATGTCCGTACTGTGTGCATACTATGTGCGTTCTGTGCGTACCACCGGCAGGTTCGTAACTACTCTGTCTGTCCCGATCCTTGTCCTACATACGCCCGCAATGTAATCATTCAAACAGACAACTTCTCAACGTGGCAACGGTGACGATCATCGCCAGAACGACTCTGGTCGCAGCCTCCACGTGTCCAATCCTCCTCCTGTTCGGATTTCCCGCGCTTGTTTTTCCACTTTGTTGTACGGCTTGAGGTCCTCCTTGCGTGGCCGCATTGGAGCCTGCCACTGAAGTGGACTGATCTGGCGTCCCGATCCCAGCTGGGCCCGATGTTGGGCCCTCAGACCCGGGAGCTGCGATCCCTGGGGTCTCTAGCGATGACGGCGATGAAGGCGATGAAGGCGATGAAGGAGATGAAAGAGACGACGGCGACGGTGAAATCGAAGGAGACGCCTTGCTTGCTGGAGCCACTCCCGCCATTGAAGCCACTCCCCGACCATCGCCGACATCGCCGCCGCTGCCATTGCGCCCCCCAATAGCTGGTATGGTGATGGGAACCCCTCCTCTTCTCTGAGGTCCATGATAGCCCCGGTCGGTAGAGTCGCTGTACGCCCAGATGAGACAGACGGATGGGCCGGTGAGAGCCACTCGTCCGCCGCCGACGGATCGATCGACGGTCAGCAGAGTGGAGAGCTGATCGGGCATCGTGCTCACGTTGAAGCTGGTGACGAAGGCCTGAAGAGCGGGATCTGGAGTCGCGTTGGTGGTGAGACTGTACGTGGCGGGAGGGGCGGTCTCCGAACCGATTCCGCCGATCACAGCGTCCGACCCGTTCATGCGGCAATCCCGAGACCACCCGATCCCGACCCACCCTCCTCTAGGTACTGCGATCCCGAAGAGAACCTTACTCCTCATTGGCGAATGAGGAGTGTAGTAGAGCTTGACGCGCGCGGTCGGGATCGGGTGCATGTAAAGGAATTGGGGCAGGTCGGAAGGGGTCATGGAGAACGCCTCCGACGGCTGGGCCGCCGTCGTGGCAGCCATACACGCCAGAGTCAGAACGAGAACGGCCCTCGTGATCGAAATCATGGTGGACAATCCGCCAGAAGAAGAAGAAGAAGAAGAAGAAGAAGAAGAAGAAGAAGAAGAGGGAGGAGGGAGGAGGGAGGAGGGAAGAGGAGGAGGAGGAGGAGGAGGAGGAGGAGGACGGAGATACCGTCACGTACGAGTCTTAGGTGTTCGACCAGTCAGTCCGGCAGGTCTCCACTGGACCACGACTGCACTTGTCCGTCGCGATCGCGAACTCCCTGGACAGGTCTTATGCCCTCGTGATCGGTCAAACAATTAGATCTGTCGATCAGGCGACAATGGTCGATTCATTGTGTCGATGGATTGGCAAAAGAAACATGCTTTCTCTCTCTCTCTCTCTCTCTCTCTCTCTCTCTCTCTCTCTCTCTCTCTCTCTCTCTCTCTCTCGGCACACACACACACACACCGCACTGCACACACACACACACCACACCACACACACACACACACACCACAGCACACAACACATACACACACACACCCACACACACACAACCAAACACTCGCTGGATGTGTGATCCGTCCGTGAGGGAGAAGGGGTGATCGGTCGACAAATATTTACCGCGTTATTCGAGCCGATCAGAGAGTCGACTCCCTGTGGGTGAGAGAAGGTCTCTTTCAGTTGTAAAGGCCTGAGGGGACTGCGGTTGAATGCCGCCTCTCTCTCTCTCTCTCTCTCTCTCTCGGGCTCGCCACACCACTCTCGAAATGTGAAAAAGACAAAAATGTGGAGGGTGCATCTGGCCATGTTCTAGCGGGTAGTTCATTCTCATTTTGTACATTTGAAGAGTGGTGTGGCGATGCCCTCTCTCTCTCTCTCTCTCTCTCTCTCTCTCTCTCTCTCTCTCTCTCTCTCTCTCTCTCTCTCTCTCTCTGTGTGTGTGTGTGTGTGTGTCTGTG